ATAATTTTTAAAATAATTTTTAACTTACAAATAAATTTTACTTCTCTAAATTTAAAATAAAATAAAAATTAAATGAATACATATTTTTCAATAAAATTTATATCTTTTTTTTCTTATATTCTAAAGAATGTTTTTGTAAAATTTATAAAATTCAAATAATTATTTATTGAATTATAATTAAAAATATTAATTAAAAAAAAAGATGTTTTTTTTTGTCTTCGACTGTATAATATAATACAAGTCAAGCTTAAATTATGTGACCTGTGGGTCTGTAGTGTAATGGTTAACACTCCACAGATCAAATCACAAGATACCAGTTCAACCCCATGTGAAGGTGGTTGAATAAAATTAATATGATATCTGGTGCTATAATCTGTTAAGTACTGTTTCTTATAAAAAGTCATTTCACATGCTAATCCAGCAGGCATTGAGATTGTGATTTCCAGAAAAGGTGTTGTGGCACAATGATCATCTGATTGGTGTTATGATGATTGTGGTCAAGTTTGATACAATTCCCAATTTCACAGCAGGTTGTTTCTCTTCCCTATAGTCCACGAGACTATAAAAGAAATATAATATGGAGGGCCACAAACTGTAAACTATTCAGCAAGACATTTAATACAATCCCCCCTTATGCATGAGTCATGACTCGCTAGCAATACTCACCATTCTTACCTGTAGTAAAGGTACCCAGTTGGTAATGTTTCCCAGAATGGAAGATCTCTCTTAAGATTTAACCTGATTTTGGAAGTGTTATGCCCTCTTAAATAAGCAGCTTATGCTTGAAGCCCAGCATTATCTAAAGAATTGGATTGTCAACCACAATTTAAAGGTATTGAAAACAACTTTGGCCATAGGTCCTATCCGCTTTCTAGTAATTCTCTAGGCTAATACCCTAAGAAAAAAACCGAAAAAGACAGAAATACAGTATTCTGATGAATAATTTGTTTAGTGTTTAAATTAAAGACTTTATTGAAAAAAGAGTTACAAATTTGAGGCTAGAAGATGTAAGAAAAAGTTTAGGTGGCAGACTATATCCAAACGGCTTACGCCTGTAAGTAAATTCTAGTTTATATAAAGTATTTAGTATAGATTAATGTTGTATATACCTTGTATATAATGATCTATTTACAAATAAATATGAATTAGAGTGTTGTCTCACTTTAGCAGTTTAAAAAAAAAAAATAATAAACAAGTCAAGCTTAGATTATGCTTTAATAAAATTTAATAGAGTTAAGTTTTTTATTTTAATTGTGAGTTAAATTTAAGTTTAAACAAAACTCAATTTAACTTGGCTTATTTAAAGCCTTAAAAGTTAAATTTTACTAAAAACATAAATTTTATATTAAAAGTAGAGTTTTTAAAAATTTTAAAGATTTTTTAAAAATGAATTTATATAATAAAAAAATAAATCAATTTTAATAACATTTATTAAATATAAGAATAAGTTTTTTATAATTTTTTTATAAGTTTAAAAGTTATTTATTTATTTTTTATTTTTTATTTTTTTTTCGAATAAAAGATGCTTTGTGTATGTACATTTTATTGAGTAGTTTATATCCAATTACATATATACTAAGATCCATTTAAGTTAACCTCACTTTACACCTATAGACTTACCCAGTATATCAATTGACACTACGGGAGTGGATCCACATCTTGGGTGAAATCTTTAGGGGATAGAAATTCTACTACTAGTTTTAAACTATCTAACCTAATCTAGATCCTGTCTCGACTGCATCTGTTATGGGAGAGGTGCTATATTACCTTTCAGGGATATGGTTAGAGAACACCTGAATATCCCCGTATATATTTTTTTGCCCAAAACCTCGGAGAAGATAAATCACTCTTTGTTACCACCTGCGGTTTCCAATTATACTGCAAATATAACCTTCTTTTAAGCAAGTGCCAGATTGGAATAGCCCTAGGCTAGGGTATTCTTGTGTGATGGAGTCTGCCGTCGACAGTTTAGGTTAGAGTTTTTGTGGACTTATACCGGAGTTAGACCAGAAGTCTTTCCTTGTGCAACCTTCCTTGCTTCGACCTGTTTTCAGCCCGCGATCGTCGGGAAGACCAGAGGTCCTATCTTTATGCAACCTAACTAAATTTGGAAATTGATTGTCGGCTGATTGGGTATGACATGAATTGAAAGCCGGTCAATCAATCATGAACGTGATAAATTTTTGTAACCAGGTGGGTTTGAACCCTAGACTTTTTCCTGGTGACCTATGGAGCATTACTACTGTGCTATAGACCTATAGATCTAAAGTTATTTATTTATTTTTATATTATATATATATAATTTATAATACATTTTTTGAAATTTTTTTTTTGGTTTTAAATTAATATTTTTGAATAAATTTATTAATTAAACATTAATAAAACTTTAATATTTTATTAGTTAGGTTATAAAATATATATATTTAAAGTTTTATCTTAATTAAAATATTATTTATTAAATTATAATAAAAAATATCAGTGCAATTATTTTGTTTTGCACTGTATATATTAATCAAATAAAAAAAATAGAAAAAAATCATATATATAAAATAATTTATGTTAAATTAAAACATATCTTTAAATTTATGATATATAATTTGTAAAAATAATTAGTAAATTATAATCTTATTAAACAAATAAATTTTAACTTTATTTAATAAACAAGTATATAATATACCATTTTTTTTTTGCCTTTAAATAAACTGCAAGTTATCATATTTATTAATCTAATTATCGACAATAATAATACAATATACAATAAAGCAATATACTATTTTTATAAATTACATATATTTAACAATTTAATATTATAAATAAGTGAATTAGATTGAATAAATTTATATATGTATATAATTTTTATTATAATTGTTTAACTTGATTTAATAAATTATAACTTTAGTTTAATTGAGAGTTATAAAAATATTAAAAAAAATCAATTGAAATTATAATATATACAGTATATTATGAATATAAGACGTTTAAAAAAATTTTTTTTTAAATTAATTGATTTATTGAAGTAATTGGTTATTTTTATAGGTCCTTATATAATACAGTATTATATACAGTATTGTTTTAAATTCCAAATTATAGATTATGATTTTTTTTATTAATATGAATTTTTGTATATTCGAAATCAATTTGGCAAAGTTTCAAAGTAAATCATAAAATTATATTGTCGACAAAGTACGTGTGCAAGGAAATAGGGGTGTTTAACAGTTTAACAGTTTAACAGTATGATCAATGAGATAAAAACCGTTTTAGATATTATTTATTAAAATGTGAAGCTTCGTAATAAAGAAAGAGGATTACGTGATTCGTTACATGAAAAAAGGGCCTTTTTAATCAGCACACAAGTACTAAGCCAGAAATTCGTGAGTTTAGCATTTATCCCCCATAAATTTTTGAAATTCTCAAAAAAATCTCCACAATGTGGAGTCTTTGTGGAGTAATGTGGAGGTCCCCCTTTCTGATACCTCCGATAACGACTAGCTGAAAGCGAGAAAATTAACGCTTTAAAAAAAAAAAATTTAAGCGCCATGATGATGTAACTAGTCACACCACTTTACGTAATAATCGGACGAATTTTTCCTACGAAGTGTGTTCCAACCGAAATTCACAAATATGGTTATGAGATACCGAACTTATCACGAAAAATATAATGTTCGCCAAGGACATCCTTCTTACGATTTTCTCACGCTGCTGCAGGACTAGAAAGGATTCACTCAAATTAAAAAAAAAAAACAGGAGTCCCCACAACTCTCTCAAAGTGGGTTAGTTTCAAGTTACACCGGCAAAGGGGTTTGAGTCATTTCCTCATAAAAATTCTCCACAGTTATATATAAAACCGTGCAATGAATAACTTTTTCAGCAACTCCAGCCGACTCTGATAATTCGAATGAGAAAAACGAATAACATGGATCCCGAGTTTTTAAATTCCTTATCCAAAGATTTTGTTAAACTACTTTGTAATGCCGAAGATTACAATGTCATTATTAAAGTTGGAGAGTCGCCAAACATCCAAGATTTTAAAGCCCATTCTTGCGTATTGCGTGCAAGGTCACCATATTTCTATTCGGCCTTATCCAGTGATTGGGCAAAGACTGAGGGAAATGTAATCGTTTTTCAAAAGTCGAACATCTCTTCCCAAACATTTCAAAAGATACTGGAGTAAGTTATTATTTACAGCGGTATTTAATATTGTTACGTCACGAGATGTACCACCAATGACCCATGTTACGAATTTATAGATATCTATATTCTGGCACAATTCCTTTTGATCAGTTACACCCCACATGCCTAATGGATCTCTTGGTCGCGGCAGACGAATTGGTTCTAACCGAGCTTGTGAATTATTTAAAGGACTTCTTTCTTGAATCTTATTACAAATGGATCTGTCAGCACCCTCTTCAAGTTTTGTATCATAACGTCTTCCGTCTTGAGAGTTGTAAGGAATTGCGGGAGTTATGTTTGACGGTAGTTTGTGAAAATCCAACTTTGGTATTTGGAACCACGGCTTTCTCGGCGATAGATGAACCTGTTCTTATTTCAATCCTTCAAAGGGATGACCTTCAGATGGAAGAAATTGAGATATGGGACTACTTAACTCAGTGGGGTATCGCTCGCACGCAAAATCTCGATGCCGATATTTCCAAATGGTCAGACAGCGATTTTTCCGAGTTAAAATCCACTTTACAAAATTTTATCCCGCTTGTTAAATTTGATCACATAAGTCCAAACGAAATACCACTCAGATTGAGTCCATTTAATAAGATTCTATTGTCATACGACGATAAATCCATGCAGGAAGAATGTTCCATATTTAAAACTTTAATCGACTCAACAATTATTAGATTGAAGCATGCTTCACTTATCTCCCGCTGGATTGACCTTAAAGAAGATAAAACGCAAGTATATCGGGAACCTCCTTCTTACGAATTCAAGCTTCTTTTACGTGGTAGTCGGGACGGTTTTAGTGCGCGTAAATTTCACGAGCTTTGTGATCACAAGGGTCAGACTATTGTAGTCATGAAGGTGGCGGGTACTGGTGAGATAGTTGGTGGGTATAATCCCGTAAGTTGGAAGAGTGGATTCTTTGGTAAATGGATTAAAACAAACGACAGTTTTATTTTTTCTTTCGATGGCGACGAAAACTTAAAAAATTCAAAGATATGTAGAATTTTATCGCAGCACTCGGGAATGGCCTTGTTTGGAGCTGATGTGCGTGGGCCATGCTTTGGAAATCGTGACTTGTGGATGTCAAATTTTAACAATTTGTCACGACAATGTTCAAGTCAAGTGTCATATTATGATAAAAGCATAATTGATTCGCGTAATTTTGACGTGGAGGATTATGAAGTATTCCAAATTTTTAAAAAGAACATTTCCAAAGAAGTACAAAATTTTTCTTCTTGAATATTAATTTATTATTGATTTAGACAATTCTAATTTTATTAAGACCTGGAGATTTGTAAATAAATACTATATTTCAAAAATTTCAGGCGATGTAAGAATAACAGTATACTACTAATAAACAAATGCGCCATATCACCCTATTTAATTCATTCAAATTAACATTAATCCGAGATTATTCATCATTGTGGAAAAATTATCGGTGAAGCAAAAAAAAAAAAAAAAAATTTTTAGGCATTTTACTATCATTATGCATATTATCTCATGAAATACCGACAAAAAAAGATTTTTTTACTTGAAACGGCAGGACACATGATTTGTCAGGGGTGAATGTTTATCTATGACCAATTGTGTACTGACAGAGCCACGAGAGAATTATAAATCATTGATCGATTAAACGCCTCACATATCGTAACGTACCGAGACGCCAACACAACACTCCGGACAGCTTAAATCGCATCGTGTAACATTTTCGAAAAATTCAAATTAAATATTTATGCAAACATTGAATTTTCACAGCCATCATTTACTATATATGGGCGGTTGAAAACTATTGGAACCCACTTGACATCGCACAACATCAAAAATCCAAATTCTTTTTTTTTATTATTCTTCTTATTTAAATAACCAGAATGTAAAGCTCATTTCTCCTACATTAAGATTCGAAAAAAAATAAAAAAAAATAAATAAATTAAAAAAATTCAAAACTTTTTTCTAGGAAACTCCGTACAACTTCCTTTCGAACAGATGATTTCTGGTTGACTGCATGGTCCCTCCTCCTCTCACATCCTAGATTACTTGTTGTTCCTTGAGTTGTTAGAACCGCCATGACGTCTCCTCTCCGTTATCCAGACGAAGATGCGACCGCAACTTCTTCCTCTATGGTCGAGACTGTCGTGCAAATTGATTCAGAACCACATAAATATGATCTTGATCATATTCAAGGCTTTGACTCCGTTCATCCTTCAGATGAACTTCGTCCACTCTCCCGGGAACTTGCCGAGCAAAGATTAGCGAAGTTTGGTCCAAATATCATCACCGCCTATCAACCTTTAAGATGGTAGGTATCTGATCTTTTGTTAATTCTGTTAGACGTGAAAATAATAAGTTTTGTTTCTTCCTTAGGTACAAGATACTATACAACTCCGTCCTTCATCCATTCAACCTGATATTGGGTTGTTTTGCGATCTTTAGCGGGGCGACTCTGGATTTCAACACCATGACTTTTCTCATTGTCATGATTCTTATGTCTGTTTTAATTCGTTTTAGCCAAGAATATAAAAACGAACGTGCCGCTCAGGGTCTCAAGTCGATGGTTAGTAATAAAGTCACAGTGATTCGTCTTTACGGACCGCCTGATGATCGGTGAGTAGATCTGATCATGCATTGTGTAATACTTGCGATGTCGCGTGACCGATGTGATTGGCTGATTCGTTTTTTTTTTTTTTTGGCAGTGATCCAAATTTTGAGGATTTAAAGAAGATGGATCGTGGTGAGGTGGTTGAGGTTGAAATTCCCTTGGAGGAAGTCGTCCCTGGAGACTGGGTGAAACTATCAGCTGGTGACCTCATTCCCGGCGATCTGCAGCTACTATCCTCTAAAGATCTATTTGTCTCTCAGGCTTCTTTGACCGGCGAGGCTATCCCGGTTGAGAAATTTGTCATTCAGCAACGACCGCCGATTTCTATTGTCGTTGACAACTTAGATGAGAAGCAAAAACCCAAAGCGGCGGAACTGGATCAGCCTGACTTTTGTTTTATGGGTACATCCGTTGTTTCTGGTACCGCAATTGGATGTGTATTAGAGACGGGAAGTTCCACTTTCTTTGGTATTATGGCCAAAAGTCTTGCCGGACGTCGGCCCGCTAATGCTTTTCAGCAGGGGATAAAGAAGGTCTCATACTTCTTTATAATTGTGGTGTTCTGTATGCTCCCTCCCGTGCTGTAAGTTGCTTGACTTCTTAATTTGCCCCTTATTTTTTTATTAAGTTCCGTTTTGATTTATATTATTTTGTTCAGTTTATTACAGGGATTTTTAAATCACGATTGGTGGAATGGCTTTCTGTTCGCTGCTGCAGTTGGCATTGGTCTCACCCCCGAAATGTTGGTGTGTATTAATTACGCTAGAAATCATTAAGTCATAAACATCTGGATTTATTCTTAACTTTCTTTTCTTTTCTTTTCTTTCCTTCTATCAGCCGATGATTGTTAATGCCAATTTGGCACGTGGTGCAATCTCCTTAGCGAAGAAAAAGTGTATTGTCAAGAATCTCGATTCCGTTATTGCCCTCGGTGGAATGGATATCTTGTGCACTGACAAAACTGGTATGTGGAATTCTTAATTAATTCAAATCCGAAATTGCGTAAATAAAATTAATATTTTCTTTCTTTTCAGGTACATTGACTCGTAACAAAGTTACGCTTATAAAACACGTTAACCATCTCGGAACACCGTGCCCGTTCCCTTTACGTTTGAGTTATCTCAACAGTTACTTTCAAACAGGGCTTAAGAATCTCATGGATGTCGCCGTTATAGAATATTTCGAAAGCGATGAATCACATGTTAACGACGAGGTCACCAAAGGATTTCTCAAAGTTGACGAGATTCCCTTTGATTTTGTAAGAAGACGAATGTCCGTCATCTTAGAAACCGATTGGGATCCTGATTATAGATTCTTGATCTCTAAAGGAGCTGTTGATGAGATGTTGGATTGTTGTGAAAATATCTTCTTAGGAAAAGATAGTGACGTAGACTCGAGCATTGACTGTCCTGATGGCTTTTTCCCCACCTCAAATATCGTCCAACTTACTCCGGAAATTCTAAAGAGTATTAAAGATTTAAATGAAAACCTTAACAATGATGGTCTTCGGGTTATTGCTGTCGCCTACAAACGGATGAAAGAACGTGTCGAGCCATTTACTGTGGCACATGAAACGGGATTGACTTTGGTCGGTTTTTGTGCATTCCTTGATCCCCCAAAGCCGAGCGCAAAACCTGCACTTCAAGAACTCTTTAAGTACAATATTTCTGTCAAGGTTCTTACCGGAGATTCTCCGACCGTTTGTCGAAAGGTGTGTCAGGAAATAGACCTTCCTGTGAAAGCCGTGGTCACAACCACAGACCTTAATGATATTAATGATACGCAAATGGAAGAGATTGCGGAGAATGCCACAATATTTGCAAAGTTAACACCGCTTCAAAAGGCCCAAATTGTGAGAGCTTTAAAACGACGCGGCCATATTGTTGGTTTTCTTGGAGATGGTATTAATGATGCACCTGCTATTCGAGAGAGCGATTGCGGTATTAGTGTGGACGAAGGAACCGATATCGCAAAAGAATCCGCTGATATCATATTGTTAGAGAAAAATCTCATGGTGCTAGCGGATGGTGTTATTGGAGGGAGAATTACTTTTGGCAACACTATTAAGTACATCAAGATGGCTATATCTTCCAATTTCGGTAATGTCTTTAGTATTCTGATTTCATCAGCATGGCTTTCCTTCCTTCCTATGTTGCCTATCCAAGTTATTGCACAAAACTTTTTGTATGATATTTCACAAATCGCAATACCATGGGATAAATTGGTATGTTAAATAATATAGTTTGCTTCATTTTTTTTTTTTCAATTACTTTATCTAATCTTTAATTGTTATCATTAAGGATCCTGAATTTTTGCTCGAACCAAAGCGATGGAATCCCAAGAGTATCGCAAGGTTCATGATATGCATTGGTCCATGGAGTAGTATTTTTGATATTAGTACTTTTCTTTTCATGTGGTACTACTACAATTGCAAGGAAGAGACTCCCTATCATCAATCTCTCTTTCGTGAGTAAAATTCATATTTTTTCAAAAAATTTATATTTTTATTCTAACGATTTTTTTTTTTTTTTTTGCTTTTCAGAAACCGCTTGGTTTGTTGAGGGTCTTTGTACACAGACTTTAATTGTTCATATGATTCGTACACCAAAAATTCCATTTATACAATCAACAGCGTCTCCAATTGTCCTCTTTGGTACGATTACCGTTATGATCATTGGAATTGCTGTTCCATTCACTCCGGTGAGACACCTCTTGGACATGGTTAACCTTCCCGGATTATATTTTGCGTACCTTGTGTCCGCATTATTAGGATACTGGATATTTACCAGCATAGCAAAGAAAATTTACATTTACTTATTCAAAGAATGGTTGTAGATGTTTATTTATAATAGGGTTGTAATTATAGATGTATTATTATTAAATTTTATTTTTCACGTGATACTTTATTGTAATCATACATTATAAATTATTGAACAATTATTAATTTAGAAATTTGATTTAACAGAAATGCGATGTCCTTGAATAGTGTCATGTGGTTTTAAATTTCAGTTTTGTCATTGCTAATAAATAATAAACCGTAGGAACATATTTAAGTTTATAATAAATTTAAAAATAAATAAAATCAAAAGATTTTATATTAAACAATTTATATTTAAAGATAAATTTTTTATTATATAAAGTTATTTATATAAGTAAAATAATATAATTTTATTATTATAGTTATTATATTGTAAATCTTGTATTTTAAAAAAATATAATAAAGCTAATTTTTATTATTTGAATTATATTCTATATAAGTTAATCTATTAATATATAACTGTGGAAAAGAACCTACATCTCTTATATTATATAAATTAAATATTGGTTTATTAACTATCTATCTAAACTATATTAGAAAAGATATTTTAAAACCAATACATTGTCTAGATAGTTTTACATGACAGGCTATACAGTTTTGAAATTTAATATGAAGAAAAGAAAACTAAGTACATATTAATATTTAACAAATAACTTTTCATGTTACAACTTTAACTCATGCAGCTATAGGTCCAAAGGATTGACAATATTGATATATACTTTCTAGTAAATACTTTGAAACTATGATCTTTGATTAATACAAATTATCAAATCTATGGATTTCAAGATCAAGTATGACATTATTTTATAATCTTTTAGTAGATATTCCAAAGAATTTGATTGGTTTAGGTTGCCAAATCTAAGAACAAAAATGACAAACAGAATGTAACTCTTATATATAAATAAGCTATTATCAGATTCATAATAGTCTATACATTAGTATTCATGTCATTATTCTCTTCAAAGTCATTTGTTTAATAATAATATATGCTGAATTGCTATTTATTATTATTATTGTTGTTGTTATTATTAATATATTATAATAATATATAATATGATTTTGATGAAATATAATTGATTAAAATATAATATTAATCTTTTAATAGAAGTAAACTGATTTCAGTTTTTTGTTATAATTGAAAAAAAAAGAATATTTGTGAATATAAATAAAAAAAATATTAAATTAAAAGTTTTTCTTTATGTAATATTTATTTTCAAGATATTTTAATCTTAAAAAATCTGACTAAGAATCCTATTCTTATACAACTTGAGTATTTATAATCAAACTTTTAAAATTGACTTATATATAACAGGTCTTAAAATATAAAAAAAAATTTTAATATTAGTTTTGACAGAAATAATTTTTTGTTTTGAAAAAGAGGAATTAATTTTTTATTTAATATATTCAGGATTTGATTTTCTGCTTATAACATCTGAAATTACTTAACCTAAATCTTTTAGATTATAGCAAAAAGGAATAATCCAATGACTTCTTTGAAAGAAATTTTTTATTTTTAATAGTAATAAAAAAAAGAAAAAAAAATTTTTTTTAAAAAAAGATAACTTAATAAGAAACTTCTTTTGTTTTATTAAAGATTCCTAAAAAAAATAATTATTCAAAATTTTAAAAGATCAGAAAAAAGTTTTTTTTTTTATTTAAAATCTAGTTTTTTATAATAAATATATTATAATAATTAAAAATATAATATATAAAAAAACTTATTATATATATATTTATATTACTTTTTTTTTTTTTAAGAAAATCCATACAAATTTTTATTTAACTTATAAATATTTTTATATTTTTTTAATAGAAAAATATAAGATAATTCAAAAGGAACTATTTAAATATTTAATAATACTTGTTAAATAAATTGCAAAAGAATTCAATACCCAGATACCTAATATCCAAGATGCAAACTCCATACTGAAGATATTTAACATATTTTCAAATGCACAGAAGCTTCACAAGCAACTGAACAAATCATTAAAACCATTAATCAAATTCTTCATCCAGATTGTAACCATGAACCAATATTACACATATGGCAAGTTGTCGAACTATTATGTGGATTCATAGACAAAATTTTTTTTATTTCAACTACTACTAACTGGATCAAAGCAGCAACAGAATCCTTAAGTCTATTACATGATCTAATTTGGAAACCACGTTGCTCCACAGCCAACATCTCATCTCTTACTGGAATCAAGTGGAATAGTGTTAAATCTCATAATTCAATCAATTCCAGCAAACCAAAAACCAAAAACATCTTACAAAACAAAGACAAAAACAAGTCTAATAATAACTTACAAGAAGATACCATTATCAACCTACTATCTATTGTTGCTAACTCATTTATTCAATCTAAATATAATTATTCCAAATATATTTATAATCTATCAACTTTAGCCACCAACCTTAATTTTACTTCTTCTAATACTAAGTAGGTATTTATAACTACTTAGTGCTATTTGGCAAGATATATTGTTTTAAATTTTCTTTTTAATATTAGTTGTATGGTTACTATAGGCAAGCTAGCATTTAACTCATTATATCAATACATAAGAGATATTGTTTCTTTCATGATGTATACCCTATTATATACAAACCAAATAAAGAAATGATGTTTATTTACAAAAAAAAATAATAATAATAAAATAAATTGCAAAAGAAAAAAAAAACCACAAAAATTTTTTTTTATATCAATTTTTTTTTTTATATTATAAATTAATTTTATATATACAGTATATAATATTTTTTAAAAAATAATATTTTATTTTTTTTAAAGTTTTTTTATTTTCTATTATTAATTTTTATTAAAAAATTTATAATATATAACATATTAATCAATAATGTATTCTATAATAAATTAAAATAATATATTAATATATTAAATTAAAAAATATAATTAATATATATTTATGAATTAATAATACAATAGTTGATATTTTTTAAATTTAAATTACAAGATATTAATTCAACTTTAGATAAAAGCAATTGAATAAAATTAATATAAGATTTAATATCATAATCTGTTTAGTATTATTTTTTATATAAATCTATTTTATGTTAATTTAATAAGTATTGAGATTAAATTTTAAAAAAATACAGTAATATAATAATTATTTGATAGATATACTATATAATAATTATTATATAAGTAATAATAAAAAAGTATAATAGGTATTTGATTTCAAATAAAATAACAATATGATTTTAAATTAAATATGATTTTTAATTATTATATATTATTTAATAACTTTGTTATAACATGATTTTTTTAAAATAAACAATGAACTCTTCCTGCTGATCTCTTAACCAACATTCCAAAATGGCATTCAGACTAAAGTATATCTTTATTCTTAACAAAATTTATATACTCTCTTTAATACAATTTAACAGACCTTGGCAAGACACTCTTATATTTTCCACTGTTTTATTTATCCCTTTAAAAAAGTAAAAACAAGAAGGTTCCTTAGTTTTTACTCATCCAAGCTTTGATGACAAGAAAGAGTTTCCTAGGGAAGAAGACAGTTTATTTGACTTTCCTCCTTCTTTTTACTGTCATAATATCAGTATCTCTATTAGAAAAGACAACCCCAAAAGCTGAAAGATTATTGGATATCTTGGTCTTCAGAAATCTTCACAACATAAATACAGTTACTTTTCTAGCGTGTTTTCAAAATTCTTTAATTTTTTGAAGGAAATTTGCCTATCTCAATTTGACCTTGAATCTTTGGTTATATCGAATCTGCTAGGTTTCCATTGGTTAAAAATTTGAATTGGACAACAATAAACAAGTAACAGATAAACAAAACAAGAACATGCTCCTATTCGTACTATACAATTTCAATGATGTCATTACTTCTGATAGGAAAAAGCAAGGTGATGAGGTGTCCATTTTGATATAGTTGGGCTTGTATGCATACCCTTTACCTCCTCCTTTTTTCTTTTTTTTTCTTTTTTTTTTCCTATATTTTAAAAAATACAAACAAGATAGACAAAATGTTTTTTCTTATGGGGTTTTTTGGTTCTGATCCATGGTTTGTGAATGACCACAAACTGTAAACCACTCAGCAAGATCTTTAACATGACCTCTCCTGCCATAAGGGCTGCTAAGCTTATCAGCAATATCCACTATTCTTACCTTTAGTGAAGGTACTCAGTTAGTAACGTTTGTCAAAATGGAAGACTCCTCTCAAGACATAGTCTAATTTTGAAAGAGCTGCACCTTTTTAAATAAGCAGCCTATGCTTGAAGTTAAGCACTATCTAAAGAATTGAATCGTCAATCCTGTCATAGGTTTTAAGGTATTGGCTAGACCTAGGTTCCATCCGCTTTTCAAATTGTAATCCCCTAGGCAGCTACCTAGATAAGAAAATATTTCAAGATGTTGACAAGGACAACAGTATTAGGTTTTTATTTGAGTATAAAAGAATTGTATTTAGATCACGATAGAACTCTATTTCCTTGGATACAAGAAATAAGTAACTGAAATCATATTATCTAGTTAATACAATTACTTTAGAAAAGTAATAACAATTGAATCTGGGGCCTTGAATAATTGGAATAAGATTAATAAAACTAGCTGCTGAAACCATTTCTCTCTGCTATGGCTATAAAAGTTGTTAAAGAAGAAGTATCCACCTCTTTCCTTTGAAAAGAATAGAGACACAGTACTTTGATGGATAATCCATTAGATGTTGAGAAATCTTAATGAAAAAGTTTATAAAATTTGAGATCGGAAGGTATAGAAAAGTTGGCTTGTTTTAAAAAAATTTTTTAAGAATCAATAGTGCTTAATAAATCGATCAAGAAATATTGTTGCTTTTGCTGATAATAAGCCTTATAATAGAATATAGTTCTTAGTGATATTCAAATTATACCACAAGTTTAAGTTAGTCACCTCTAGATATATCAAGTATCGACAAAGAAATTAATGTATATTTTATTTAATTTGAATAAAGGTGTAAACCATCTATTTTAAAAAAAAAAAAAATTTAAAATAAAATAAATTTAATTCTATTATATATATAATTTAAATTATATATTTTTCAAAATATTTAAAAAAAACTAGAAATATTCAAAATTATTTGATTTTTAAATATTTAACACAAGTATAAAAATATAATATAAAGAACTTGAGTTAATTAACATTATTATTTTGATATTAATTAATTATTATTTATATAACAGGAAAATATTGTATAAAAAATTTTTTTAAGTTTTTTATAAGTTTTTTTGAAGTAACATACAAATTTATTGTTTAACCTGTTACAATACATTTAAACTTTTATAATATTTAATCTGAATATCAATATTGATAACATTGAATTCAATAAGCTTATCAAGAACCTATTATTAATCAATCATAACAAGATACAATGGGCCCGGATCAATTAAAAATCGAAAATACAAAAGAGATTAAAATTATACAATATAAGGACTTACTCAACACCCGAAAAAGGGGAAAAGCTAAAAAGTAGATGAAAGCTGTGAGATAGGCATACAATAAGGTTCTTAAGACGGTGCAGGACAATGGAATCACTGACATGAGCATCATATGAAAGCACTACCTGAACAATGAGTACTTCACAACTGAAGAACTCCTCTAGATAAATGAGACCCCTAGGGAAGTATGATCATATGTATTTGATAATTGATACCTGCATACAAAGTAAACGAGAAGTTGCATGGAAATAATTTTCAAATGAAGTACCGATCAAAGAAGGATCAAACACAAATTATCTCAATTCTTGCTAGTAGGAACAGAGAAAAATATGCATTCCTAAAAAATATTATCACCTCAGAACAATTACCAAATATCAATAATATGATTAACATAACAATGAATCGCCTGGGACATTTTTACTTGTGAGTTTCCGTTTCTTTGGATGTCATTGATAACCAAGATGATGTTCTGGAAAAGGTAATCTCGCGCGATCCAGGTGTTCGCACATTTATGACTGGTATGACCCTGACGGTCAATTAATCGAGTGGGGTAACGGCGATTTTAATAAATATTTACAAATTGCAGAGCGACAAAGATCTTGCTTTGGGAAGAATAAACAAGAGAAAGAGATTTCGACTGAGAAAAATGCTACGAATCATACAACGATTTCCTAATTTAATTGATAAGTGTCATCATCAGCTGGCCGTTGGTTATGTCAGAATTCTTTTACCCAAGTCTAGTCTTCGAGAAAGGTTTTAAAGAACAAGCGAAGATTCAGTCAAAGGCTACCCGTGTGATTTTAACTTGTCGCATTTCAGGTTTCAAATGTTCTTACAACATAAGTTGAGAGAGTTCAAAGGTTTCAAGGCCATTGAATGCATCGAAGAGTATACAGTACATCAAAGACGTGTGGGAATTGTGGATTTGTAAAAGATGATCTCGGTAGATCAAAAACGTTTGATTGTGATTCGTGCGAGGTCGGGACGCGAATGGTGCCAGAAATATCTTGCTCAAATATTTAACGGGGGGTCAGGTTTTGGAACTTAAACCTACTGTATATGGGATACGATATGCATAGTAAAGGCTAACCTTATTTATTCAATTTCAAGGGTTAATGGAAGTCACGATAGAAATTAAAATTTTAGATGTCGAGCCCAGTTTCTGTCAAGTTTGCTTTCTTTTATATATTCTATATAAAAAGAAATCATATATGAAGGATCTACCCGAAGGCATCCGAATAATTGTTATTCACAATTTGGTCATGTACTGTAAAAATAACAAGACTCTTTGAAAGTTCTCTCCAGATTTGATGCTTAGTCACCTTATGGATCATAGTACTTACCCTTCAGCAATTAATTTATCTTGCTTGAAAATAACGAATAACATTAAAGCAAGGGAGTGTCTAAAGACATTTTGATTGAATTTTTACCCGATGAATTAGAATAGAAAAAAAAATTTAAGTCTGCGTGCCATAAGAGCAAATATTTTCACACCCTCCTCTCATTTCTGCTTCAACAAATGTCTCGATTTCGAAAAGGGAAATTCAAAGAGAATACAGTAAGCGATTCGAGCACCTCATCGAAAAAAAAACACCTCAAGATGTTAGAGTAGTCTATATTATGAACAAATCTCAAAGGTTTTTTCGATCTGTAGAACCAATTCGCAAGCATTTTAAGATTATCAGGGAAAACTATCCGCCTCTTCGTTGGTTTTCCTATTCGGTGTTGACCTTTAATTTAATCCCATTCCCGATTTTTCATGGTTGGTGCATCTTGACTTTTTTAATTACCGTGATCGCTGAAAGCTTTCTTTGCCTGTCAGTTTTTCTACCAGTCATAACATTTCTTGGCTTTGATAATATTTTTTTAGAATAGTAAACATTATTTCAAATGGTATTGAATTAACTTCGGGGTTCTAATGATATTACATCTGCTATAATGGGATTTTTTTGATTTTTCGATAATAAGGTTCCTAATTAGGTATAAGATTTTTTTTTTTTTCATACAAGTATTGCTGCGGTCGTAGATAACCGAGGTTTCACGAAAAGGAGGATCATCATTTAAAGGATTAGGAGTATGAATTTTTATTTCATTTTCCGAATAAGGAATTCCCCCGTGCTTTAAAATTTAAGCCGTCAATTCCGAACGCAACTCGCGGTATTTTGGAATATATGCCTATTTTGTTTTCTTGCATTAATAGAATTCCGTGTTACCAAAACATTAAAACATAGGTGCGCCAATTAAATTTGATAAAATCCCCTGATGTTTTTTTTTAATTAAAAAACGAAAAATGTATTGCACATGAATAATTTAGTTTCTTTTTCATCTTTCACACCATTATTATTTATATTATATCACAATTGAATTATCATATCCTTGGACCTTATTTCTCTAGGAATCCTCTAAATTCATTTCATTCCTTTTTGTCAAGATAATGGCGACACAACAAAAGAAAAAGCGATTTTCTCTATTTAGCACACCGCTAGCCGTCCCAATTTCTCCAAACACTTCACTCCTTTCAAATTATTTTTCCACCACTACACCCATCCGAGAAGAAAAATTTCTGACACAAGACGATGTTAGAAAAGCTCTAGAAAATTTGGAACGAATGGTTCTTGCTGCAAATGATTATTGCGATTCTATCGACAAATTGAACAAGGCATCGAAGACTTTTAGTAAATCACTAAGGGATTACGGAAATATCAAGGGAATGGATGCTTCCCTTGGTAAGTCTTCATTCATGTGACCTCTTCACGTGATATATAAATATCATTCCTGATGATTTGATTTTTGAATTTTTGTAGTAATATGTTTTCAGTCTACATCTCAGTTTTATGAGAGTTACGCTGAAGTGCAATCGAGATTGGTATGCTGGTTTTGAAATTAACATTACATCCATTCAACCATCAACCAAATTAATAGCATTCTTTTTTTGTTTGACGGACAGAATAAATTGATACAAAGAGAATATGAGACACTGCAAAAATTCTGGGACAAGTACTCTAAAAAAGTGACGGTGGGATTTTTGTGTAATTGGAAATCTTTGATGGGTTTTCTTTTCTTCTCTTTTTCCTGAAATTTTGTGCATAAACTGATAAATCAATTTTGTAACAGAAAGAAGAAAAGGCGCATAATGATTACATCGATGACTTAGATAGACAATTAAATAAGATAACCGTAGAGCACGACAAGAAAATTAAGAAAGATGGTAAATCATCTGCAGAATCATATGAGGTTACTATTTTTCATTGAATAGGAGACATGTACACTTTCCCTCTCTCTTTTTTTGAGTCCAAGAAAAAAATATTTATTTTTTCGCAGAAGTACATGAACTCCGTAACGACTCTAAATTCTGATATTACACGGGCGCGTAGGGAATACGCAACGCAAGTGTCTAAAAGAGAACGAAACACGCATGAAATCATCGCGCAAATTATTTGTCGCATAATAGGAAATCAAAATAATTCATTTGAAGATTCGAAAAAAAAAGGTGAACCCACCATGTCAAAAATAAATGAAATATTACCATCGTTGGGAACCTTGACACAGACCTCACAGGATGAAAGCGAAGATAGTAGTGTTAGTTTGACACAATATACCTTTGATATTTTAAAGAATAATTCGATCATTATTTAATGATTTCTTGTAATTCTTATAGATAATATCCAGGCCTGCCAAGGAAATTGCAATGATTACACGGAAATTATCACGAAGGGCTTCGCATAAAGTATCACAGTCCATCGCATCTATATCCGAATTACAAATAGCTGCAATGAATTACCTGTCTCCCGATCCTTCAAAGTCTTTATCCGCAGAACAAGAATCTCTCTCATCTTTGAGATCTTTGCCACCCCAGATTCCCGCTTTAATTTCTCCGGATCCGATTGATATACAATTTAATCAGCATATGTCAACGATGCCTGAAGAAACAATAACTGCAGATACGGATCGACAAAAAGAAAATGGTAGCATAAAAAACCATAGTTCCGGCTCTATAACACCAAATTTCGACACCTCATTACAACCATCCCCATTGGCTCCTGTAACAGTGAAACCTAAGAAACCCGATTTGGTTTCAAAAATTTCCATAGGTATCCATGAAGATGATCAACCATTCTTTCGGGATTATGACGTAAATTATTCTTCTGATGATACCAATGGAATAGTCAATAACAAAGAAACTTCAAATGTTGTTCAGTCGTTGGAGAAAGAACAGGGTGACACTGAGAATAAAAGACTAAGCATCATTACGGGAGATGATCTTTCGAATGATAGCACTAACATTGTGCGTAGAGAAATCGATCAACCAAAAGAAGAGACTAAACAAGATGGTAATAATGAAAAACAACTAAATCCTGCATACAGCTTTGACACTCGGTATTTAGTTTGCTCATTTCCTGTTGACTTGCCAATTCGCACGCCACCTTATTCACCCTCTACATCCCCTAGACAATCTCACATGTATTATTATAATCCTAACTATGTAAACAATAATAATAATTTTGACAACGAAAGGGTAGAGATTGAAAGAAAGATCGAACCAAAGAAGAGAGAACACCTCCAACATATTTTTAGTCAATCAGATGGGAATATTAGATATGAAGGAAAATTTAGCGATGAACCTGCGAATGATCTTCAAAAAGACTATCAATCAGAAACATTTTGTTCTTCGCCGACTTCAACTAATAATGAAGATGCCATCGATAAACAAAATGGTAAATCTCATAAATTTGATAATCACAATACGACGCCGCCATCTCCGTTATCAGTTAAATCCAGTGCATCGGAAGGTGAAAAGCCTCGTTCGCGCGCCGCACAAAATTTGAGTCCACGACGTGCATACACAGATTATCATTTGCCCACTAATACTAATAATACTAATAAACGTGCTGGCCCATCCGTTGCTGATTTAAGGGAACGTTTATTGTCATTAAGTAATGACAAAGAAAAGGTACGTTCTCGAAATTTTGCTCGTCAATTACTTGCCTTTCGGAATTCATGGAAATCATCATTAATACGTTTTAAAGACTTCCTCAACTACTCCGCGTAGCATTCCAGTATCAAGACAAGGTCATGTTATCAACTTGCTGTCAAAATTTGACACCGAAGGTTCAAATACTCGTCAATCCTCAAGGTCAGGTAGTAATTCAAAATCAGAAGACTACTTTTATAGAAGCCAAGATTTGAGATCTAGCGACTACGAATATAATAACCATAATTACGATGATGACATCGGTAGAAACAACAACGAATTTAAGGATGAAACAGTAAGTTGACAAGTATATTATGATTTGTATCTAAAAGAATTGACTTATTCTTTTCCTACTTTAGTATGCTGTTCACATTCAAGACGAACATACTCTTTCTTCACCATCCAAGCAAGAGGAATGCGACTGTCACATATGTCAACAGATTACCGAAAAGATGAACTCATCCTTGGATCCTCAAGATGATTCGTCAACATTCGGAAGGAGAAGTTTTTGTGAAAATAATAATACGCATGAATAAGAAATCCATGTCATAACTTTTCATTAATTGCATCAGTATTGATTTACGATCCAATTTAATTCATTTATAAAAATTCAGAACATTATATTTTGTTCATAAATTATCCGATTAGCTGAACAATTAGAAATATCAATAAAAACTTTCCTAAGTCAACCAAACGTTTCGCATTATCACCGAAGCTCAGCATATTACTATTACGTCTATGCCAAATTTAATTTAACTTCTTTTCTCCATCCTTTCTTTCTCTCTCCCGTTTCTTTTTTTTAAGTTCCTTTACTTCTCTGAAAATTGCAACAAATAAAGGAACAGA